TCCTGTACTGTCCTGAGGGACGGTTCTATAAGCAAATAATAGCTGTTGAAGCTTATTGTCCCAATCAAATGGTCTTTCTTGGCAATATGACTTCATCATCTTAATCAGTGTCTTATTCAGATTTTCAACCAACCCATTGGTTTGGGGGTGGTATGCCGTTGATGTAATATGTCGAATTCCGCATAGCTCAAGCAGTTTTGTCATGAGCTTTGAGGTAAACTGGGTCCCTAAGTCAGATACCAGTTCCTTGGGATATCCAGTCCTTCCCCAGATAGACAATAAAGCATTAGCTACAGTTGTAGTCTCGATGTTAGTGAGAGCTATTGCTTCAGGATACCTCGTAGCATAGTCTATCATAGTTAAGATGTATCTATAACCACGTCTGCTTGGCTTGTTGAGGGGACCAATTATGTCAATTCCCACTCTGTAGAATGGCTCTCCAATTAAAGGCATAGGGATAAGAGGTGCTTTGGTCTTATCCCTCCCTGTAGTTTGTCTTTGGCATGTATCACATGACTGGCAGAATTCCTTTATTCTCTGGAACATGCCAGGCCAATAAAAATTCCTAGTGATCCTGCTCGTGGTTTTCCTCACACCCAAATGTCCACCATGAGGGTTTTCATGTGCCACCCTCATCAGCTGCTCTCTAAATTTTTGAGGTACTACAATTTGACTATCTGACACTGATCCTTCCGTCGATGGTACTCTTTTGGTTTTCTGTATAAGACTCCCTTCTTTAGCACAAACTCGTTGGGCTGTTCCTGTGTTGATGCCTGGGTGTTTTGAGCTGCAGCCAATAGAGGCTTAAGAGAATCATCGGCTCTTTGTTCCTGCCGAATCTCCTCAACTCCTCCCGTCTTACTAACAAGCTCGGCAACTGTAGAACTGGACTCCGGACTCTCGCTTTCATCTTGCTGTATAGCATAACACAGGGCTGCTGGTTCTGGGGTTTCGATGTTACATTCCTTCTCCTCACACGCCATCTTCTCGCTCTTAATCCGCAGCCAAATCGTTTCCAATTAAGCATTCGTATGGTATGTCAGGACTAACTGCGAAGTCCCACATTCCCTTCCATCCATCATATTCTATTGGTAAGGTTACGACTGCGGTTAGTATCGCAGGTCCTAAACCTTTTAATTTTACTGCAGAGGTTGGCTGCTTAAATTCCTGTGGTACTATTTCAGGATGTACTAAACACAGTTCTGAACCTGTGTCTCTGAGTCCTTTCCTGTACTTGTTGTTAATACTGATGGATTCTAAGTATTCTTCATATGGGCTGCCTGACAAGATGAGCAAACATCGTTTCTCTTGTGGCTCCAAGCTTGAATTCTCCTTCGAAACAGTATCCCGTTCTGCCTGTGGTGTATCTCTCATCTTGCTCACAAAGAGGGTTGCTTTTTCTTTCCTTAACAGAGGACATTGATATTTTATATGATCAAATTCTCCACATTGGAAGCACCGTCTTTTTACCTCAGGAGCGGTTTGTCTTGTTACACCCTGCCTCCTATAGATGGTGTTTTCTAAGTCAGAACCCTTTTCTGGCTGTGAGCGCGTTTGATGTGAATAAAATGGTGGCTTATTTGCTTTTCTTTCACTTGGTGGATCTTCTCTTTTAAATCCCTCTTTTAAGGTTGTAATTTGATCTGCCATAACCGCTGCCTCTACAACAGTGGCTGGCTTGCGATCTTGAATCACCCACCGAATATCAAAAGGCAATATTTGAAAAAACTGCTCCAGCTTCAAAAGTTCCCTCAGCTGTTGAAAATCCTCCACCTCAGACGTTCTTATCCAACTATCAAACAGTTGAGATAGTCTTGAGGCCACCTGAGCAAAACTTTGAGCTTTATCTTTTCTTATTGTCCTGAACTTAAATCTATAATATTCAGGAGTCAATCTAAATTCCTGTTGAACCTGCTTCTTAAACAGATCATAGTCTCCATAAGATTCCTCAGTCATCTGCCCATAAATCTGCAAAAGTTTCCCACTTATTTGTGGCCTTAGGTATGTCATCCATCTTTCTTTAGCCACATCAAAATCTCGACAACATCTCTCAAAAGATATTAGGAATTTCTCTGGATCATCGTCTTTGTTGAATTTTGGGAATTTCTTCATCAAATCTGGGGTATTTCCTCCAGATCTTCCCTCCTGGGTTCCACTGGCTGTTTGAGACAAAGCCAATCTTTGTTTCTCTAGCTCAAACTCCATTCTCTTCAATTCTAACTCCTGTTCCAATTCTCTCACTCTCTGTCTTTCTTCAAACTCTCTCTGTTTTGCCTCTTTCTCCAGTTCTCTCTCTCTGTTTTTCTTCAAACTCTCTCTGTTTTGCCTTTTCTCCATTTCAAGTTCTCTTTCTCTCTGTCTCTCTTCCATCTCGATTTGCAATCGTTTCATCTCTAACTTGTACTTAAAAGCCATTTCTGAGAAAGGCATTGGCTCATCTGTTTCAGAGCTCGAATTTTCCTCTACTCTTTCCTCAGCTAGCTTTCTCTGCCGCCTGGTAGCCATTTTTTCAGCAACTTTTACCTCACAACTTATTTCAAAATTAAACTTAAGGCACTCGATTAGTTGTTACACGAATCCCGTCGTCTGCCACCAAATTTGCGAAGCCGCGTCCCCACCGCTCGTTACTACAATTCGAAGCCGTTCACTTGCTGCCACCAAAATATGTGAAATAGTCTCCAAAAATAAAATAATGGCGTGAAATCCCAACTAAATAGGATCACCACACAAATGTAATGAGAATTTGAGACTTCTAGGTTAAGCTGCCACCCTAATATAAAGAGATATTGGTAATATAATCTCTGTTTCTTCTTATCTGGGTTGTGAGGCCACTTTGGTAGTGTGGATTGTGCAAAACGTTGAAATCAATGGATGAGGCAGGTTTTAAAACACAAAGAGAACAGATTTATTGTCGGAGCGTAACTGTTGCAATATTAACTGTTGAACTTGGCACAAGCTTGATGGTTACAAATATGGCTTAGTTGAGATACATTCAGGTGATGTTACAATTCTTTGACTTCTTCTACAATGAGGTGCTTTAATATTTCAGTTCCCTATTGTGAATATTTACAACTGTTTGTCCTACACAGGATCAAAATAGCGATCTCCAGCCATTCACCACTGGGATCCCTAAACCTCTTTCTTGTTAGATTCTTTCTTTACTCAAGCAATCTAACGAGGTTTCACCTCCAGCTTCCTAGCTGGAATAATATTCACAAATCCTAAGAACTGGCTGAATTTCCACTACACCACAGAGCCTCAACTGACTCTGCCCCTCAGGGTTTCATTCCCCCTGACTGAACTATTATCCCAGAGTCCCCTTTGACTCTGTCCTTCAGGGTCTCATCCGCCTGACTGATTTTAAACTGTCGTTTTCAAACCTTTCCTACTTAAGCTCCGCCCACCTCCTCTGGCCTGTCACCATGGCAACCTATCTCTCTCAGCTAGGTCATGGCTACAATGTAAAGCATAAACACAGTTTAAAACACAGTTTAATGAACACTTCTCTACACAGTAACAAGCCACACCTAAAAACTCCCAGGCCATCAAATGCTAATCAAGGTGGTCAGCTGAAACATTCACACCTAGCTCCAACAGACAAGACTTCTTTCTCCAACCCTGAACTTTCCACAGATATATAAACCCAATTTTTCTAGTTTCCAACAGACCTCAGTACCTCTGAGGATGCCTGCCATAGATGCAAGTGAAACATCAGGAGATAATACTTCTAGAACATGGCCATAAAAGACCGAAAAACCTACAGCAACCCATGTTTAATGTATCAATAATTCATGGTAAATATTCATTCAGGTATATAAATGAATTCCACAGAACAACACTGACCTGCCTTTTATACAAGTTAATCTTATTTTGCTGTAAGCCACTTTAAGTGTCCTACCTTAAAGGGTTGTTGTGAATGGTAGAACATAGGCCCAGCTTGCAAAAGCTAAGGAGAAAGGTGGGTGGAGCAAAGAAGCAGCCTCATAGCCAGGAGTGCAGTCTGATTGGCTAATGAAATTTGAGGAAAAAGCTCAGTAACTGGAGATGGGCAGAGCTAGAGGCAAAGAGAAGAACCTGAGGCAGCCATTTTAAGATCAGCTAGGAGTTTGGTGTGGAAGAAGGTTTAGATTTTGAAGGAAGGAAGAGATTTGGGGTCTGTTTTATGAAAAATCCTTCTTTGAGGACAATAGTTAATAGGCCTCTATAGTGATTAGAGTGCTGTGGAAGGAAGGGATGTTTTAAAAGACTTAAAAGATCCTGTTTGGGGGGCAGAGTTTGGTCATGGCTGGCTAAGGAGGTCAGCCTCTGAGCTCCTCGTGGGAGAAAAAAGCTATTTGCAGTAAAATGAATTGCTAAGAACTATTTGCTCCATACTCCATGACTGGAATGCAGAAATAAAAATTCTATCTCCTGGAAGAGAAGAAATTCCATATAAAAGTGTAAGAGACCCTGTATTTCCTATGCTATTTCACGATGAGACAGACTGGCTGAAGGCTACCAGAAGGGATCAGGTAGAGCTCAGCTCCCTCCTCACAGAGAGAGGACAGTGAAGCCCAAGGGCACCAGCTGAGATCCAAAAGGGTAGTTCCCTCAAGGAGAGATCCCAGACGGATCCGGCAGCGGAGTCCAGGGGGCAAGGCGGTTTGCAGTGGGGCTATTTGGATGTCCAGGAAATTATCAGCCATGTGTATCTCAGAATAAAGAATAAAAAGAAAGGAAAACTACAAGAAGTGTTACAGGAAGTAAGTAAGTAAGAAAGAACCTAACCCTAACTCTAATTGTGGAGGGTGGTTCCTCCCCCTTTAAATTGGGGGAGGGGGAAGAGAGAGAGAGACTTTCAACTAATGGATGAAAGCATGAGGATGTAACTTTGCAACTCTCTTTAACTCCCTTGAACTGCTGGGATAAGCTGGAAAACTTCCCCCCTTCCCTGATTTACTGACACTGTGAAGTTTGAGTAATGGTGCAGAGGAGGCTGAATTAAGATTAGGGAGACTGACCTTGAGAGGAAGATTGTTGTGTCTGCGGGTCAGCTTCTTTAAACAAAGAGAAACAAACCAGAACTAAAGAGAACAGCCTGCCTGGAACATAATTGACGAACTTGAAGCGAGCCAAGCCTCTTCAGAAGACTAAAGATATAACACAGCCAGGAACTGGAAGTGAGGTATCGAACATAGACTTAATATAGACTTAATACAGATTTAGGATAGACTTAACAAGGAAGAACCAGGAAAGTCAAGTGGAACAAACTGAGGGACAGATACCAGAATAATAACAACGAAGGAAGCAGAAGAAAGGAAACAACTCCAGCAAAAGTGTCAAAAGTGAAAGAAGAGAGAAGGAGCGAGTGAATGCAGAGTCAAAAAACATGGTTTCGGCATTGTGAAAGACTATCAGATAAAACGCTTGGGAGATTACAAAGAGCTGAGAAAATTGAAAAAGCCCAGCATAATACTGAAATGCAGAGAACTCCACCTCAAAAAAGTCTGAAATAAAGAGTAAACAAACCTTCCCTATTGCTTCCACTTCAAAATCGTTGTCTACTCTCTCACAAACAGAAAGCATAACGGAAAAGGAAGATAGGAACTTTGACAAAATGATAAAACAAATGTCAACGATTTTGAGAGAAGAAAATAATAAAAAAATTATGGAACTGGATAATAAATTTGAGAAAGAGAGGAAAGGAAGGCAGAGAAAGAGGAGGAGTCCAGAAGAAGGAAAGGAGAAGTGGAAGAAATAAAAAGCGCTTTCAAATCAGACTTACAAAATATCATAAAGGAAATGAAAGATGTAGAGGCGCAATTAGCCCAGATGGCTCTGGATCGGGGAAAAACAGATGAGAAATTCCAAAGCATACAAAAAAATATACAAGATGTATATGGGGATATACAAACAATAAAAACAGAGGTTGAGAAAAATAGATACCAGAATATATAGAAGGCACAATAAATAAGAATATAAGAATATATAGGAACAGACCAGGAACTAAACAAAAAACAAATACAAAAACTCAGTACTAAAGGTTCAGAGATGGAGAAGATGGTGTACATGCAGGATGCTTAAAGAATAAATAACATAATTTTGAGAAAGTGGCCAGAGGGACAAAAAGGAGAGAAGAAGGAAGATTTGAAGTCAGAAATATTAAGGTGGCTACAGAATATTTCCCCATTGCTGAATTGGGAAGAGATAGATACAGAACGTGTACACAGGTTACCAACAGGAAAGAACAAAATGATGCCAAGAGATGTAATAAGGATCACCGCCTTGTCGGGGCGCTGGAGCTTGAGCACCTCAATGATGTCATGAGCGAAACCGTGAAGGGCCACCCAAGACGGGACGGTTGTGGCAGAGAGGTCAGACCAAGCGTGATCCCTGGGGAAGGCAATGGCAAACCACTCCAGTATCCTTGCCAAGAAAACTAAATGGGCCAGTACAACCAGAGATATGTCGGTATGCCATTGGAAGATGGGACTCCCAGGTCGGAAGATGGCCAAAATGCTACTGGGGAGGAGCAGAGGATAAGTTCAACTAGCCCCAGATGTAATGACGCAGCTAGCTCAAAGCCGAAAGGAAGGCTAGCGGCCGACGGTACTGGAGGTGAACGACGAATCCGATGCTCTAAAGATCAACACACCATAGGAACCTGGAATGTAAGATCTATGAGCCAGGGTAAATTGGATGTGTTATTGGTGAGATGTCAAGACTAAAGATAGACATTCTGGGGGTCAGCGAACTGAAATGGACTGGAATGGGCCACTTCACATCAGATGACCACCAGATCTACTACTGCGGACAAGAGGAACATCGAAGAAATGGAGTAGCCTTCATAATTAATAAGAAATTCGCTAAAGCGGTGCTTGGATACAACCCAAAAAATGACAGAATGATCTCAATTCGAGTGCAAGGAAAGCCTTTCAACATTACAGTGATCCAAATATACGCCCAACCACAGCTGCTGAAGAAGCAGAAGTAGCGCAGATTCTATGAGGATCTGCAGGACCTACTGGATAATACACCAAAAAGAGACATTATTTTCATTACAGGAGACTGGAATGCCAAGGTGGGAAGTCAAATGACAACAGGGATCACAGGCAAGCATGGTCTGGGAGAACAAAATGAAGCGGGACGCAGGCTGATAGAATTTTGCCAGGAAAACTCGCTGTGTATAACGAATACTCTCTTCCAACAACCTAAAAGACGGCTTTACACATGGACCTCACCAGACGGTCAACACCGAAATCAGATTGACTACATCCTTTGCAGCCAAAGGTGGCGGACATCCATCCAGTCGGTGAAAACAAGACCTGGGGCTGACTGTAGCTCAGATCATGAACTTCTTATTGCCAAATTTAGAATAAAACTAAAGAGATCAGGGAAAATACACAGACCAGTTAGATATGATCTCACTAACATTCCTAGCGAATATACAGTGGAAGTGAAGAACAGATTTGAAGGACTAGATTTAGTAAACAGAGTCCCAGAAGAACTATGAACAGAAGTCCACAACATTGTTCAGGAGACGGCAACAAAGTACGTTCCAAAGAAAAAGAAAACCAAGAAGGCAAAATGGTTGTCTGCTGAGACACTGGAAGTAGCCCAAGAAAGGAGGAAAGCAAAAGGAAACAGTGATAAGGGGAGATATGCCCAGTTAAATGCGCAATTCCAGAGGTTAGCCAGAAGAGATAAGGAACTATTTTTAAATAAGCAATGCATGGAAGTGGAAGAAGACAACAGAATAGGAAGGACAAGAGACCTCTTCCAGAAAATTAGAAACATTGGAGGTAAATTTCAGGCAAAAAATGGTATGATAAGAAACAAAGATGGCAGGGACCTAACAGAAGCTGAAGAGATCAAGAGAAGGTGGCGAGACTATAAAGAAGATCTGTATAGGAAGGATAATAATATCGAGGATAGTTTTGACGGTGTGGTGAATGAATTAGAACCAGACATCCTGAGGAGTGAGGTTGAATGGGCCTTAAGAAGCATTGCTAACAACAAGGCAGCAGGAGACGACGGGATCCCAGCTGAACTGTTTAAAATCTTAAAAGATGATGCTGTCAAGGTGATGCATGCCATTTGCCAGCACATATGGAAAACACAAGAATGGCCATCAGACTGGAAAAAATCAACTTATATCCCCATACCAAAAAAGGGAAATGCGAAAGACTGCTCAAACTTCCGTACAGTGGCCCTTATTTCTCATTCCAGTAAGGTAATGCTCAAGATCCTGCAAGGAAGACTCCAGCAATACATGGAGCGAGAGTGGCCAGATGTTCAAGCTGGGTTTAGAAAAGGCAGAGGAACGAGAGACCAGATTGCCAATATCCGCTGGATAATGGAGAAAGGCAGGGAGTTTCAGAAAAACATCTACTTCTGCTTCATTGACTATTCTAAAGCCTTTGACTGTGTGAATCATAATAAATTGTGGCAAGGTCTTAGTGGGATGGGCATCCCAAGCCACCTTGTCTCTCTCCTGAGGAATCTGTACAAGGACCAAGTAGCAACAGTAAGAACTGACCACGGAACAACAGACTGGTTCAAGATTGGGAAAGGAGTACGGCAAGGCTGCATCCTCTCACCCAACCTTTTTAACTTGTATGAAGAACACATCATGCGATGTGCGGGGCTGGATGAATGCAAAGCTGGGGTGAAAATTGCTGGAAGAAACATTAACAACCTCAGATATGCAGATGACACCACTCTGATGGCCGAAAAGCGAGGAGGAGCTGAGGAGCTTTCTAATCAAGGTGAAAGAAGAAAGCGCAAAAGCTGGGTTGCAGCTAAACATCAAAAAAACCAAGATTATGGCAACAAGAATGATTGACAACTGGAAAATAGAGGGAGAAAACGTGGAGGCCGTGACAGACTTTGTATTTCTAGGTGCAAAGATTACTGCAGATGCAGACTGTAGCCAGGAAATCAGAAGACGCTTACTTCTTGGGAGGAGAGCAATGTCCAGTCTCGATAAAATCGTAAAGAGTAGAGACATCAGACTGGCAACAAAGATCCGCCTAGTCAAAGCCATGGTATTCCCTGTAGTCACCTACGGATGTGAGAGCTGGACCTTAGGGAAGGCTGAGCGAAGGAAGATAGATGCTTTTGAACTGTGGTGTTGGAGGAAAGTGCTGAGAGTGCCTTGGACTGCGAGAAGATCCAACCAGTCCATCCTCCAGGAAATAAAGCCCGACTGCGCACTGGAGGGAAGGATACTAGAGACAAAGTTGAAGTACTTTGGCCACATCATGAGGAGACAGGAAAGCCTAGAGAAGACAATTATGCTGGGGAAAGTGGAAGGCAAAAGGAAGAGGGGCCGACCAAGGGCAAGATGGATGGATGGCATCCTTGAAGTGACTGGACTGACCTTGAGGGAGCTGTGGTAACGGCCGACAGGGAGCTCTGGCGTGGGCTGGTCCATGAGGTCACAAAGAGTCGGAGACGACTGAACGAATGAACAACAACAGATGTAATAATTAGAATATTACATTTTTCAAAGAAAGAAGCATTAATGAAAATAATGAGGAAAAACCCAGAAAGATTAAAAATTGGAGGAACAAATCTAGAAATGTATAACGACTATTGCCCAGAGACTAAGAATTTGGGATTTGGAATGAAGTTAGTTACAAGCAAATTGATGGAAGCAGGTATACCCTACATATGGGGATACTCATTACTCTTGAAGTTCCAATGGGCAAGGAAAAGATACAGTGTGAACTCGGTGGAAGAAGGACTAAAACTACTGAAGGAATTGAATATACATAAGAAGTAGAATGAAGGAGGTACCAATGGATCTATTGAGAACGACGAGAAAGTAAAATGATAGAGAAGCAGGAGAACCGGTTGGAGCAGAGAAGGAAGAAAGACAACTGGAGAAATTGAGTGGAGCAGTTGGAGAAATGGAGCAACAGGAAGACTACTAGTGAACTAAGTTTTGCAAGAAAAAGAAAGAAAAAAATATGAGCACTTGGGGGGAGGTTGACCTTGGGTCATGATCGTATTTCATCTCCACCCATTCGGAAGGCCAGGAAGCCATGGTTGGGTTAAGACCCAACAAATGGGAATGGGGAAAAGGGGGAAGAAGGGGAAAGGGGGGGGGGACAAAGGGAGAAGAGGGAGGGATAGAGGAGA